CATGTTCTTCTGAGAAGTGATAGGGGACCATGAGATTGGAGCGGGACACCTGTGGGCCTTCACTTTGCCTGTCATGGTGTGTATTCCTTAAACAAAAAGGTATGAAGCCAATTTGGCAACCCCGGGTGATTTGTCCAGAGTATCCCTTCGCATCATCTTCTACACTGTAAGACTTTTGGCATCCTGATGGGCACAGGCATCTTGTCATGCTGGTTTGCACTTCTCTGATGACTGGCACTTTGGATAGTTTTCATGTATGTACCGTGCAGTGCTACTTCCCGTTTTCTGGCTGGTGTTAACAAGGGAAGACGGTGGAGTGTGTGCTGTAGGGAAGAGATGGAAGGTGGAGGGTCGTTCCAGCTGTTCATGCAGCTGGGAAGCCAGAGGAGGTAGGGATGCAATGGGGAGCTGAGGGAGGCACAGAGGAGGTGCTAAGGGATTCAGCGTGGTGAGCTCGCCCAGGCACAGGCTTTTCGGCCTCTAGGTAGTGAAAAAAGAAGAGGAAGGGACTGGCATTGCGCTGGCTCCTTCAAGGGCCCACACCCAGTGATTTAAACCCTCCCACCAGGCCCTACCTCTTAAAGCCTCCCGCTCTCAATGGTGCCAGGCTGGAGACCAGGCCTTGAACACATGGCCTTTGGGGAACCTTTTAGATGCAAACTATAGCACATGGATGAGGGCAGAAGCCCAGCTGGAAGGTGTTACACTGGGGAAGTGGGGTGGGGAGTGACAGCAGGTATAGACGATGGCTGCAGCAGGGGAGAGGGAGATGGGGCACAGGAGGGAGAGGAGCCAACCACCAAGTACTCCAGGCTTCCCAGTGATCTCTGCTGGGCTGTGCAGGGCACACAGGAAGCTCCCCTCAGCACTGTACCCCAGAATCCATACACGGGGTGAACACTTGCCCTGGAATGTGAGCTCTGCACAGGAGTTTGTTCTGGATCACGGCAGAGCACAGTAACGCCAATGCCTTCAGGGGCTGCCATAACAGGGATAGCAGCCACCGTTTATTTATTTTTAATGTCCCAAGCTCTGTGCTAAGCATCTCCCACATGCCCTCCCACTTTCTTTCTCCCTCCGTTTCATGGGGTAAATAGTATTTTCATCCCCAGTGCCCATTTCACAGAGGAGGACACCACACTTGGAGAAGTTAAGTGACAGAGATGGGTCTCAGCCAAGTGAAGAAATGACATCAGTGTGGGCCAGAGCCCGGCTGGACTCCTCCAGGATGCAAGGTTCAAAGTGGCCTGTGTTCAGGCGTGGCCTCAGGAGAGATTCGGGTGATCACTCAGCCAGGGCCATTTTGTGTTGGCACAGCTGGCTCTTACCAATGTCTTCCTTCTTGTTGCTTGTGAGCTGTACAGTCATTTCTGATGGCATAAAGAAGCGTAACTCCACACTTGTTTCCTAAGCCTCTGCCTGTAAACCTGCTTCAAGCATGTCACTGTCACCCCTCTCTACTGACCCAGCTTCCTGCTAATGGGGAGGCCACACCCATCTTCTATTTGCTGTGCAAAACTTCCTGGTGACTGGTCTCTTGTCACCTCTTCTGCCTCATCTTCCTCTACCGAAGTTGTGAGCACTTTTTGTGCTCTCCAGGGCCACCTGTTCATACCACGGCCCTTTGGGAATTCCAGTTGTTTACCTGTCTTACCAGGGTGCTCACCTGAGCCGCTCACCCCCAGCCCATGCCTTAGTCTCGAGGACTGGCAATGCCCAACACACAGTAGGAGGCTCAGTAAGAGGGCATCTCAGATATCCAGCTAGGAAAAGCCAGCATTAGCTGTGAAGCTCCCTGCACAGGCGCTAGGGCTTTGGTGCTTGCATTGATCAGGAAAATGATTTAAGAGGGGGGTGGGATGGTGAAGTATTTATTTAATAAAGGACACTGTTGCCCTCTAGGCAGAGGCACCCGGGAAATAGTACCTTGTGAGCCAGCAAAACTGAGCACATTAGAGTCTTCTGGAGTTAAATTTGGTATTAGGATGAGGTAGGAAAAAAATCTATGCTCATTGAATGCAAAATGCAATTGTCTGTCGGTGCAGGAACTGAAGTATCTGCAGCAAATTATATTTAAGACTCTATTGTCACAGGCAGATTAGCTAATGCTTGATTTTAAGTATAGGCTTCTAATGCTATTACTCCTGGTTAACTCTGCCTGGCAGGTAACCTTGTGGAACAAATGACTGCATTGCTTGAATAACGTATTTGATCAAATAGGACAATTCTTTCAAAAATTGAGTTCTCTGTGGCAATTTGAGACCTGTAATCAGCAAATTAGATGATTACAGCCGGGATAAAAATAGTCTTCTAACAATGTCCAAGGTATAAATGTGATTTGAATTTCAAAATGTTGAGCATGTGGTAGGAAAACGCACGGTTGGGTAAATAGGACTAGACATTATCAGATTTGATTTCTCTTTCCATGCCTGCTTGGAGGTACAGCCTAATTCTGCCCAAATAAACTCCAATCTCATTTGTGTCTGAGCGAGGGGACAGCGGTCCATCAGGCGCTGCGCTCCAACTCTTCCAGAGCTCTGCAGCTTCCCCTCTGCAGCAGGAACTTGTGGCCACGTGAGTCTCAGTGGCATTTATTTATCTGCTGGGTGCAAAATGGCCTTCAAGAAACAGCAGGAAAGGGGGCAATGGGAAGCCTCCCACACCCCCACCTAGAGACCAGGGTTTTCCTCATCAGGCGCAGTGCGCAGAGGACGATGGTGAGACCTAGCAAGTGATTTGCAAGCTAGAGAGACATGAGGAGGTGGCATGTTCTACCACAACCCAATCCTCCCGGGTGTGCTGCTAAATCTCTAACACAAGAACTTTCTTAGCCTTTTGTTATTGTAACAAAATACAAAGAGCGGGGCAGCTGATTTAGCTCAGTGCCTCTCCGCCTGCCTTGTAAGCACAAGGACCCGAATTTGATCTCTGGTACAAAAAAAAAAAAAAAAAAAAGAGAGAAAATGGAGATAAACCAGGCTTGGCGGCACACACCTATAATCCCAGAGCTCTGAAAAGCCAGGCATGGTGGCACACACCTATAATCCCAGACTTCAGAAAGCTGAGGCAGGAGGATTGCCGACAATTCAAGGCCAGCCTGGGCTATGTCACCTGGCTACAGTGCTTTGGGCCCATAGTGAGGTGAGGCTGGATTTTGTGGCAGGCAGAGGTGTGGCTGGATGATGGGATGGAACAGGAAAGGAGGGAGACTGATCTAACACAGCTGCTCCCCCAGATCCATCAAACTATGAACCCAGCCACGATTAATCCACACATGAAGTTGGTGACGTGATCCAGTCAGCTCTCAAGGAGCCCACTGCTAAATCTGGCTGCATTGGGGACCAAGACTAACACTTAAGCTTCTAGGGCACTTTTAAGATCTCAGCTATAACAAAGCTGGACTGAGGGCTGCACCCTTTCTCTGTTCCCCACTTGTGGGCCTGAGCATCTGCTTGCCAGGTACAGCTGTCACTCTACACTGGTGTCTGTTTCATCACCTCAATTGGTTCTAGCTGAACAGGATGACAAGCGACCTGGCAGACAGGATGGGAGCCAGCCAGGGAAAACAGCACCAGCCAGACCATACACTAGCAAACGCAGACACACCCCTGTGGGGCACCTGATTTTCACTCACTAGCTGCTAAGTTTCTGACAGAGCCACAGAAATTATGGATTACTATGGACTTTTTACCCATCTGGGACTTATCGTTCACTAGCACAGATGATTACGGGCTGCCTACAAAGATCCTGACTTCCAGAAATGCAGCATTCCAACAATTTACCTACCAGGTGTTACTTAGTTAACACCCTCTACAGTATGATGGCTGGCTAAATGCAAATTCACCTCAGCTAAGCTGTCAAGAGCCATTATCTCACATTTCTCAAACTCTTATATTTATAAAACTTTGGAAATAGAATTTTTTGGGGGGAATCATAGTGGGGATTGAACCCAGAAATTTCAGAGGTACATCTCCAGTGTTTTTTAAATTTTGAGCCTGGTGTGGTGGTGCACTTGTAGTCCCAGCAATCAAGAGGCTGAGGCAGGAGGACTCCTATGAGTTCAAGGCCAACCTGGGCTATATGGTGAGCTCAAGGCCAGTCTGAACTACAAAAGTGGATTTTTCTTTCTACTTTTAAGTTTTTGCAACATAAAATTGAGTAACTGTTTTGCTCCATCTTCCCTTGTACCCATCAGCCCCCTCTACATATACACACTGAAAGCGTTGACAGTGAAAACACAAGGTGTGGGATTGAACCCAGGACCTTTGCACTGAGCTACATCCCTAGCCCTATCCCCCAAATTTTGCAGCACAGCCCAGCCAGGCCCAAACTTAAGATCCTCCTGCCCAGGGTTCCAGAGGGCTGTTACAGGTGTGTACCATGGCTGGAAAGACCACTTTTGACACTCCTCAACAGAAAGCCAGACTTCCAAGGGGACAGTGGTCATTAGCAAGGCCTTGGGTGAGTCCCCTGCCAGTCAGGGAACAGGATGTACACTAAAATCCTGGCTTGAGCTGCATCTTTTACTTTGTAATTAAAGCATACCTTTAGACTACTAAACTAGAAATTCTCCCACGATTCAACTATTCTTTAGGGTAAGGATGGGAAATATTAATCGCAGATTTTTTATGACCTTTAAACAGTCCTAGGAAGGAAATTATACTCAGAAATCCTCTTGGGTGTGGAAATGACTTCACCACTACAGCTCCTGATGGCCAAAGACCCCAGCGGGGGCAATGACTTGTGCGGGGCATCATGGGAGAAGTGACAATCAGAAGCCTCTTAGCTCCAGGGCCTCAGGAGACCAGCCTGCCACACCTGAAGTTCACTCCAAAGTTTTCTTTTAAATGTATTTCCCTGAAAGACCTCACCTTCCAAAAGAATGAAGACAAAAAAGGAAACTTGATATAACCACACCAAAAGTTGTCTTCTAATTTAAATGACCAGATAGCTCCTAAAACCAGCTGTCTCAAAGACAGATTATCTTTATTAAACAGGGGTAGATATAGCAGCACTTACAAGAGTTCATGGGAGGCATGGTACACTGGATGACAGTGTCTGAAGTGTGGCCCCGCCCCGCCAGTCGTGGCTCTGTATCCCTGTGAGTGCTCACAATCACGCGTGTCGCCTAACACGATGCAGCTCAGAGCACCGTGTGGAGCTCAGCGAAGCACCCGCACTCCTCCACTTTAAGCCTTTCTCGTTTCTGTAAAGTTGATCAAGTCAAGTATCACCTTCCTTAGCAGCATCTGGAGCACGCGTTGGTGTTCGGGAGGTGGCTGGTGTACTTGACCCACTTATTAAAAAAAACCTAAGCATTTAATAAAAAATATTTCTCCCTGTCCAAAGCTGTCCACAGAAATACTTCTGTCACAGGAGAGACTCTTCCACTTAAATATCTGTAAAAACTAGCACAGGCCTCCGCTGTAGCCCTCAGAGTGAGGAGCAGGGGCTTCCCCACGACTGTCTTTGCAGGAGGCTGTGTGGTCAGGCTGTGTCCGGCTCACTGCTCTGCTTCTCACTGCTCTGTGGCGGGGTGAGGACTCCGGACGGAGTGGGAGAGATCCTATTTTGTTCCGACAACATGGCTTTCTTTCCTTGGGCTTTGTCCTGTTGATTAGAAAAAAACAGCGAGAGCAGTTAAAGTGAAGAACTCATCCTTCTCTTTACTTATTATATGCTTTTTCTATGGAAGGGGGAAAATAGCAAAAAATAACCTAAAAGTATAGTCTTATACAGTATGGAGATATGGCATCTACTGATCAGAAATTTTCTTTTCAAGGAATTAAAAGAATTGGAGTTTTTTGAGGGTTGCAAGCTCCACCTCTGCACAGGCAAATTAGTGAGACTGACTTAAAAAATAAAGAAAAAAGGGTTAGGGATATAGATCAGTGTAAAGGCTGTGGGTTCACTCTCCAGTACATTAAAAAAAAAAGAATTGGAGTTTTTCTAGGATGCCTAGATCTTGTTGGAAGGAAAATGAAGAAGGTAGGCAGTGTTTTTAAGACAAAGTCTCACTACATAGTTCAGGCTGGTCTTGAATTCAGGGCAAACCTCCTACCTCAGCCTCCTAGAATGCTGTAATTACAGGCAATGCCACCATGCCCAATTCGGGCAATTTTAGGGATCTGTGTGGACAGCAAAGAATGAAGCAAGGAACAGTAAATACCAGCATATCCAAGCTGTTGATATGAGTCTGTATATTATGGGCATCTTCAACAGGAACTCCCCGGAAGTGCTTTATTTTGGAACTTCCTGATTCCCTTATAACCATGACAAATGGAACCATCCATTTGACACATTTCTCTATATCGCACCATTGATACCCTGCAATAAGAAATTACAGGCTCAGTGGAAGGTCACACATGGTTTGTGAGTTTAATGCACGTTGTTTAGGAAGTCACTGGAAAGCCAACCTACCTGAAACTTTTTCTATCAATTCAGATGAAGAGAAATGATATAAGGCAGAAGCAGCAAGGACACCATAAGGAAATTCTAAGCAGCCAACATCCAGAACGCAGAGATCCAAAAGCTGCAGAGAAAAGAACACAGGTTGACACACATCACTTCTAGAGTTCCTTACTCCACCAGGAGAGTGGGAACCCCCAGAAGCCACGGAGCCCCTTACCTCTGCGATCTGTACAAAGATTTGCTGGGGATACTGTGGCAGTAGCACTTCATATACGTCATTTAGATATGCAACCTGCATATACACGTTTAGCCAGGAAACAATAGTCAGGGGACTTAAACGCCACTTCAGAGCCTAACGGGAAACAGGAAAGACACCAAGAGTTATGAAATGAGGTTCAAAATGCAGCTATGTTCCATGCCACATGTCCAGCTGGAGAAGACACCCACACTTCATGTGGGGAGGACATGACGTATGCATTTAAAACATGACTGGAAACCAACTTGTAAACTACCTGCATAATCACTAATTCCATAGTGAGGATTTCATCTCCTGAACAAGCTCCATCTGTTACGTAAGCAAACTGGTGCAACTTGGGAGGATAGATTTCCTAAGAAGAAATAAGGAAAATATCATTAGCAAAAAGTCAATCTCTAATAGTTTTAATTTGTAATATGCATCCCAAATTATTTCTTTTGGCATTCTGGTACGGAAAAGGATTCAATGATTGGATCAGTATAGGAGCCATATCAACAGCCCAAAATGTGTTGGCTGTAAAAGAAATGCAACTCCTACCCGCACTGAATATAAATGAATGAATACACAGATATGTATATATAACTTTTACTCAGATCTAAAAAACTTCTTTTTCTCAATACCTTTGACAATATATTTGAAAGTTGGCTAACATATTCTTTTATAATTATATCAAATTAATCTTTTTGGGTGGTACTGGGGATTGAACTCAAGACCTTGTGCTTGCAAGGCAAGCACTAAATCTCCAGCCCTCAAATTAATCTTTAAAGTTCAATTTTTCATTTAATATTTACTACAATGACCTAAATGTTCTATAAACTTATTCCTCCTCTCTTCTTAGTTCCCATCTTTTTTGCCTATCTTTTTTTCCTCCAGTACTAGGGATTGAACTCAGGACCTTGTGCTTATGAGGCAGGTGCTGTGGCACTGAGCTACATACCCAGACTTTTGAATATATCTTAAGAGAAAAATATGAGATTTGAGCTAGGTGTGGTGGTGCACAACTATATATTCCAGCACTTGGGAGTCTGAGGCAGGTGGTCACTATGACTTTGAGGCCAGCATGAACTATATAGTGAGTTCAAGGTCAACCTGAGCTACACTGCAAGAGACCCTGTCTCAAAAAACAAAAACAAAAATATATACTTATTACAGACAAATAGGTGACCTCTTCCGCCATCTCAATAGAGCTCAAGAAACAGCACATATTATATATATAACAATTATTTGAAAATTATTTACCTCCAGTTTGGCAGCAATAAATAAAGACGAAATCCCGATAAGCTGTAAAAGTGTTTTCACAATATTTTCTTGTGTTGCCATATACCGATCAAAGAAATCTTGTGCCAAGTAAAATGTCTCCCTGTGAAGTTTATAGACTTCACACACCTGAAAAAATATTTAGTATGTTTTAGAAGAGTTACTTGAAGGGAGGGGAAAAAAACAGACTTTGTCCTGAGTTTTGATGAAAGACAACATAATCAAATCAAAAGAGTTAAGAAAGGTAACTTTGCTTTTCTGAGGATGGGTACCTTGGCTGACGCCCTAGGCACATGCACAATGAAAAACTAGACCTCAAACATAAGAATTAAATGTTCTGTGATCTAGATCTATACAATAGTCAGAACAAATGTTCATATGCCAGAGGAAAGGTTTCAAAGCCTGGGGAAAGCAGCATTTTCATGAAATAAGACATACATCATACATACATAAATATTTTTTTTAATTTTCTCAAAGAATGTTGCTTTTTTTATAAGTCTCATTATAAAGGAAAGAACTCACATATTCCCTTACAACTAAGATAGCAATGAGGAAGTTTAAAAGCTGGAACACACATTTAAAGATTATAACATGCCCCAAACAGTATACCATGAGAGCCAAAAGCTTTGTTAAAAAGCACTGCAAAGACCCAGAGACTTGGATTGTATTGTAGGCTCTGGCTGAGAGGAGTTAAAACTATAAAATTTTTAGGACTTGCCCTGCATACCTCCTAAGACTGCTAGAGAACTTGAAATAAATAGTATACACGATAGAGGTGAAAAAGCTCAGGAAAATATGTCATCAATTCAGTACTGCTGTAGAAAGTCTGTTTAAAAAAAAAAAAAAAGTCTGGCTATACATATGTAACTCTGTAATACCACACTGCCACCCCAAAACAGGACATCCCCCCATCAGTATAATTCATAGGATTAGCATACAGAAAGGAGCCAGAGAAACCAGACACAGAATTCTGCTAGAAAATTCCATCCATCACCAGACTATCTCAAAGTACAGATTAAGATATGTATGTATGTCTATATATATTCATTTATAAAAATATTCCTTAAACACAAAACTCAAACAGCATCCCTTCATAGTGTAAAGGTATGGGGGGATGTAGCTCAGTGGTGCTGCACTTGTCTGGCAAGCACAAGGTCCTGAGTTGGATTCCCAGTACCAAAAAAAAAAATTTTGTTTCCAGAGTATAAAGGCATCAATCACATTACATAATATAACTGGGCACGATGGCACATGCCTGTAATCCCAATATTTGGAAAACTGAGGCAGGATTGCTGTGAGTTCAAGGCCAGCTGAACTACATAATGTCTCAAAGAGCCCCCACACCAAAAGCAAATAAAAATATCAGAAAGACCACTACAGTAAACACACCACACAGCTTCAGAGGTACAGAAGGCACAAATGGAATCAATCAAAACACAAACATACAAGAGATAGTAACAGCATACAGGGATCTAGAAATGGTCAATCCTTCCAAGTGAATGAAAAAACTGGAACTCACCTCCATTAACCAATCCAGAAGAATTGCTCGCATTTTAGGCTGTAGAAGAGGGTGTCGCTGCAAAAAGTGCTCATCGCGTAAATATGTCTCTTCCTTGTTTAACATGATTTTCCAAACCTCCTCTCTATTTGCCCAGCTAGAGAAAAAAAGCAGAAAACAAAGCTCATCCAAGTGTCAATGAGCACCCACATAATGAAGTCTGAGAAGATGGACTAAAAGAGTGAGAAGTCACGCCGCGGTCAATGCTTACTTCAGTACAGGCAGTGGTGAGGCCCTGGGTGGTGGGGTGGCTTTCCGAGGCACAAATGTAGGATTTGGGTATTCTGGTTCACCTTCTTCTTTATCAGGTGTGGGGATCAAGGAGCAAGGGTTTGCACATCCTGTATTATCGTCCCAAGACTGTAAATCAAAAACACATTTTAAAATGTTTGATGTAATCCATTTTCACACTCACTAATCTGTAGATCAGACAGTACTATAAAAAATAGCTCCATACCAAAGGGTAATCTCTAGGCTTAATTCTTCTGGCCTAAGATGAAGATGACATAGATAAGTATTAAGCCACAGTACAGTAACGACACCTAGCTTTCATTTATCGCTAGCTTAGGAATCTATGGAGTAAATTCCTAAGAAAACTAGAAAATTTAGCATTTTATCCTCTACATCATCACTTCTAGGTGAGGTGCCTGAACAGCAAAAGACACAGGAAAGGTAAGAATAAAATGCAAAGAGCTCATATAGTACAAAAAGGCTAGCCAAGCTGCTATCAAGAAACCAACCAATAACAAATGTTGGCAGGGTTTGGGGAGAAAGGAACCCTTCTCCATTGTTGGTGGGAGTGCAGACTGGTGCAACCACTGTGAAAATCAGTATGGAGATATCTCAAAGAACTGGCATTAGAGGTTCCATTTGACCCAACTATCCCTCTGCTGTATATCTTCCCAAAAGAATTAGAAGAATCATATCACAGCGATATATATGTGCACCTGTTTACAGCGACATGGTTTGTAATAATAGCTAAAACTTGGAAGCAGCCCAGTTGCCCATCAGTTGGAGAGTGGATAAAGAAGATGTGGTTTTTCTATAGAATGGAATACTATTCAGCAATAAATGAGAAACTAGTCATTCATAAGAAAAAGGATGCAACTGAGACCATACTTTGAAGTGAAATAAATAGGACACACGTGCGTAAATACCAAATAGTTTCTCTGGTATGAAAAACTAAAAGTGTAAATAAGATCCAAATTGTATAACTGATAATGTGAAATAGGAAGAAAAGGGCCAAAGGTATAGAGGAAGTGGGGAGGGTAGGGGAAAGGAAATAAGGGAAAAGAAAAATATGAGAAAAGGAAAAAATGGAAACAAAGTCTTTGTAAATAGGGGAGGGGAGTGAAGGGAGGGCAGGGCTATGGGGAAAATATGAGAACCAAGATCTGTCGTGTGTAAAGGTACAAGATCCCAATGATGAATGTAACTGTACCTTCTACTTAAAAAGTACCAATAAACTCCATAAAAAAGAAAAAAGGCTAGCCAAATATCACACAGTGGGGATCTTTTGTTTTCCCTAACTCAAAACAGCAAGCAGCTACCTAGTTAAAACTAAATCAAGCAATGGTCACAGGTCATATTAAGAAGTCCATAGAGACAGAGACACTCCTAAGACCTTTGAATCCTACTTCAGAGCCCTAGCCTTGTGGAGTAAGACTTACATGTCTGATAAATGAACAATGATATCTTTAAAAAACAAAGTAGCCTTTTATCAACAAGATTTCAGAGACTTTTTATTCAATTTTCAGTATTTGGAAAACACTAAGATTATTTTGCCACTTTATTTCTGCTATAAAGTAATGAATAAAAAAGTATTAAGCTTATGATGGCACACGCCTGTAATCCCAGCACTTGAGAGGCTGAGGCAGGTGGACTGATGTGAGTTCGAGACCAGCCTGGGCTACATAGTGAGTTCCAGGTCAGTCTCAACTACATAGTGAGACCCTGTCTCCGCTAGGCATGGTGGCGCATGCCTGTAATCCCAGCACTCGGGAGGCTGACAGCACTCGGGAGGCTGAGGCAGGAGGATCACTGTGAGACCAGCCTGAGCTACATAGTGAGTTCCAGATCAGTCTCACTACATAGTGAGACCCTGTCTATAAAAACCCCCTGTAAAAAAAAAAAAAAAAAAAAAAAAAAAAGACCCTGTCTCAAAAAAATAAAATAAAAAGTAAAGCAAACAATACTTACATTTACATTGCATCTTGTACTTTTACATGATTATATCTTAGTTCTTATTTTTTCCCCATACCCCTGCCCTCCCTTCACCCTTCCCTATTCACAAAGACTATGCTTCCAGTTTTTCCTTTTTGTCATTTTGTTCTTAATCAGCGACCATTAATGTCAACCAGAGGGCTAAACAGACAACTGGAACAACCAATGAACATGGACTCTCCAGTCTAAGAGCTCCTTCCTACAGTACACACACAGCCCACCTTCAAAGGAAGCCCAATCACCTCACCCAGTGAGAAGAGCAAAGCTGGAAAGGGCTCTTCTCCATTCTCTGTACAAAGAATTGGGCATGCAAATTATCCATGACAGCTCCCGCCAACAGCTGTGCAAGAAAGGCAACTTCCTTTCAGTTCTAGTATGTGCTGGTAGCATTTCCTTGACTCAAAAAGTTTCACGTTACAACTGCTCTAAATTGCTCTTCGTTCAAGAATGAATTCTAGTTTTGAAGGCACAAGCTGGGTGTCACCCTCCAAGGCCAGATGGCTGGCATGTGTGAGAGAAGGTCTTTGGAGATAAACTAACTGGCAGCCCTTCCCAACTTGCAGTTCATAGACAAATTAGGTGAACCACAGCAGAAAAATGGTTTCCAAAATAGGCTTTTTTAAGAACCACTGGATGAGGGCCATAGATTTAGCTCAATGGTTCCGCTGCCTGCCTTGAAAACGCAAGGTCCCAAGTTTGATTCCTGATACAAAAAAAAAGACAGTGGATGAGGCACAATAATTGTCCACGCTCTTTAACTTGGTTTCAAAGGAACCAAAATGAGTTTGACTCTATTGATGAAGGAAACAGATAACAAGAGACCAATTTTGACTACTGCTAACCATCTCTGACTCTTAATGACACTTCCTTTCTTATACAAAATTTTCTAAGAGGTATTTAACAGTCTAGGTTTCTGCTTCAAATAAAAATGTTGGGGGTCTTGTGAAAAGTAAACAAAATGGTCATGGGAAACAGATTTTAGGTAACAGGGCAGCCTTAAGAATCATCAAAAGTTCTGTGGTTTTGAAGCAGTTATACTGAATGTAGCATGATAATTCCTACTAGCTTTAAGTTGGTCTGGGACGAACTGTAACTTCAGAGAAAAATTCTGTGTAATTAGCAAAACAGTTGTTGTACCTCAAAATCTAACTTCATTAATCTTCACAGAGAAAGAACAAAAGAAACGGATAATTCCAAGCTCTATCCTACTAAGTGTAGAAACCTGCTGTCATTCATCCCTGGACAGCCGTGAAAATGCCTTCTCATGAGAAACAATACACTGGTCATTACCACAGCTATCACCTCTCTATGGTCCAGACACTCAAGAGTACTGCTCAGGTTGTCCCTGAGAACAGGAATGTAAAACTCCAAGAGTCAATACACATGGCTTCATCTCAAATTGGAAATTACCATACAAAACAGAGCTGAGAAAATAAATAATCTTGTTTTATAAAGCAGGGACTCATTTATAATATCCATATAATCAACTTGCTCGATTTGAAAAAAAATTAAGGGGAAAGTCAAAAGAACTTGGGATGCACTAACTTACTGCCTTTCCTGAATTGAATTGAAGCATTTCTCAATAGAGAAGGAAACCAACCCCTTGTTCAGTACGAAATGGGTCTTCCTCAAAAATGCTTATCACAGTAGCCCATGTGCAGTGACACCCGCCATAGCCAATAAGGTGGCCATCACTGTGAGGCCCATCCCTCTCTCACATCAGTGCTCACTGCTCCACAAAGTGAGGTGCTGTCCTTGCTAACCCAGTTGGAGCACTGCACTCAGGTCGAACACTGTTCCTGCTCAGCTTTTATCTGCGACAGAGGCAGGCCAGAAAGGCTGGCTTAGAGACAGGCGGCTTCTCCCACTGCAGCCATAACTATACTCTCCAGCCATTTCTGGAGGTAAAGAGATAATACAGACTTTCTATGCAAGAACTTCTGATATTATAGCGATATTACACTATGTGTAGGTCATTTCTTTAGTAGCAAGAGAGATGGAATAGTCAATAAAAAGTGTTGAGATGCCCATATTATAGGCATTGACACTGTTGCTAAAGCCATTTTAAGTCCAGATGGCAGAGTAGGTAATTGGTTCTTTTTGGTGGGGGGGAAGGTTGAGACAGTGTCTCACTAAATTGCTAGGTTACAGATAGGATGGATTCAAACTCAAAATCCTCCTGCCTCAGCCTCCCACTGTGCAGGGATTACCAGCTTGGACCACCACACCCAGCTTAGATTAAATCTTACATGTTAGTTGGGCGTGGTGGCGCACACCTGTAATCCCAGCACTCGGGAGGCTGAGGCAGGAGGATCACTGAGTTTGAGACCAGCCAGGGCTACATAGTGAGTTCCAGGTCAGTCTCAACTACATAGTGAGACTTTGTCTCAAAAAAACAAAACAAAACAAAAAACCTCACATATTTATTTTTATTCATTTCTTGAGGCAAAGTTTCACTAGATAGTTCAAACTGGTCCTCCTGCCTCAGCCTCCCAAGTGCTCATATTACACGTGTGCCACTACATCCAGTTAAGGTAGGTAATTATTAGATGGGCCAGAGCAGTGGTGGTGAACCTAGAACAAGTGCTGCAGTAGGCTGTTTGTATCATCGGAAGCTCTAAAAGGTTTGCCCCACTGGGCTAGAGGATCTTTCATGATCACAGAGGGGAAAAAAGGTTGACCTAAAAGCAACAGGAAGCTGGGCATGGTGGCACATGCCTATAGTCCTGGCACTTAGGAGGCTGAGACACGAGAATCTCCATGAGATTGAGGCCTGTCTGGGGTACAAGGCCAACAAACTGCATGCATAGCAAGACTCTGTCTCAAAATAAATAAATAAATACATAAATAAAACCTGCCAGGTGTGGTGGTGCACACCTATAATCCCAGCAGCCAGGAAGCTGAGGCAGGAAGATTGCCAAGAGTTCCAGACTAGCCTGGGCTACATAGTGAGTTCAAGCTCAGAGCCAGTCTGAACTACAAAGTAAGACTCTGTCTCAAAACAAAAACAAAAAACAAGACTAAAGGCAAAGGGAAGCTCTAAGCACCATGACAAATCCACAGGCAAGCATGGGGTGAAACAGACGTCCTACCCCCAGCTCACCAGCCCCTTGAAAAGGCTGTGGGTCCAGCTTTGCCCCTGGCTTGCACAGAACTCTGAGTTGCTTTCTTCCTGAGCCTCAGTTTCCTCACAGGCAAAGGGAGAGGCTGGATGTCTACTTTGGTTCTCCCAAGGCATCAGCACCTATCTGTAACTTCAGAGGGCGCCAGTCAGGAACACAGCCCTTCCTGGAATCCCAAGGCTGCAAGAGGCCAGTACACAGGACGGGCATGGTGCTCAGCCATGTGGACTGCGACTCCAGTTAGAGAAAAACTAACCCTAACCACAGGGTCTTCAGCAGCAGACAAGAAAGCACAAACCCGATGGGGCCCAGGAGAGCAGGAGGCTCTCCATGCAGGTCCAATCCACCAGTTGACTTACCTGACTGCTACACTGGCCTCTCACAGTCCTGTCAATTTTGGCAACTTCTTCATCGGGATCCTGCAAAAACTAACATAGACAGCCCCCGCCAAGGAAACACACCAAAAACAGAAACAGAGAGGAAAGGGAGAAAAGCTCATTAGATTATGTGTGCCATTTCTGTCAAAGGGATGCCCTCCCAAGCTAGCTCCCATCAACATATGCGTGGGCAGACTTAAGTCTGGTACCCAGGTTAAGATGGAGGGGGGAAAACTCCTCAACCTGTCTCCTTTGTACTCACAACGGCCACATTTGCCTTCCTTTTCCTGGAGCGAACAGAGAGGTCGGCGGCACCTTCATCTTTCCTGGCGTCCTGTTCCTTGGCATCTCTGCAAAGCCGCGGTGGCAGGGGTAGGGGTGAGCGCTCCCCAAATCTCGGCCCGCCCCTCCCCCACCGCCGCGCACCCTTCCCCTCCCCGCGGCAGCCGGGCCGCCCGCCCACCCCCCCTT